TCCACTTTATTATCGCTTTCTGGCCCACGTGTGATAACGTCCAGAGTCATAGTCCAACGCTCAAACCCTGATACCACGTTGGCTCCTACTCAGTGTAGATGGAGCCTATGAGAAGTCCTGAATTTCTTGCAAAGAGGCAATCTTGGCAATGTCCTCTCTGTCTCCACTCCTCCTTGCTCTTTTGGCAGTTTCTAGACACCTGGCTTGGTGTAGCTGCAACAGCCCTTGAAAATCCTAGTGGGCCTGCTTCTCAGTGTTGACTCATCAAAAGCTACTCAACTTTCTTTCGGGTTGTTTGTTCTTCAGCTGTTTCCCACGTCGCTTTCCCAGGTTGTTGCGATAAGGCTTGTTTGTTGGCTTCTGACCCATTGGGGACATGTCAGAAAGAAAGAAAGAAAGAAAGAGAAAGAGCGAGTGAAAGAGAAGCATACACAAAAAAACAATGACCCAGTTGCCCTAGCATCAGAAGTCCTGAGCAGTAGGGCAGGTGAATGGAAGCAGGAGAAAAAGAGCACATAGTAGAGAAAAAATATAAAGCAATACTAAACGATCAAGAGGAAGAACTGAACTTTGAAATGTACTGTAGGGGCTACAACTGCCAGAATCCCTCAGCCAGCATGCCCACCTTGGGAATTTTGTAATTTGTAACCCCCCCACCCCCCAGAGTGGAGCCAGTGTTGTGTACTGGTTTGAGTGTTGGACTATGACTAGAGACCAGGGTTCAATTCCCAGCTCACTGGGACAAGTCACATGCTCTCAACCTCAGGGGAAAGCAATGGCAACCCTTCTCTGAACAAATCTTGCCAAGAAATCCCAGTATAGGTTTGCCTTACGGTCTCCATAAGTCGGAAACGACTTGAAGGCACACAACAACAAACGTATGTAACATTTCCAAGATTGGTGCAAGACAGATAGGCCTGTGTTAGAAAGATGATCATGCTGGGTAGAAAAAACACTTTCATAAGTGCATCTTGGGTGAGGGGGATGCAGGAGATAGCCTTCTTGGTGTTTACTTCCAGGCTTTTGAATTCCCTACCTAAAGAAGCTAGAAGGCTAGGAAGGCTCTGCTTTCTTGGTCTTGCTATCAGGAGGTGAACACTTTCTTATTTTGACCTCCTGGTGACTGCCAGAGTGCTGCTTGGTGGGTTTTTATCTTTTGCATTTTCATGTGTGGTGTAGAGGTTTGTGTGTTGGACTATGGCTCTGGAGACTATGCTTTGAATCTCAGCCTGGCCATGTGAACCCATGGGTGATCTTAATAATAATAATAATAATAATAATAATAA